GCTGGGACAGTGGTGGCCAGTCAGTGTGTGTTGCATTTGCTGAGGGGTGGTGTCCCAGTGACCTAGGTTGTGGTTGCAGGGGGGAGGTGCGTTCAAGTGGCTGCATGGGCAGCTGTGGCTGTGCGGACGCGGGTATGCCCGAGCTGTCGGTCGTGCGACTTCAGGTCAGCGCGTCTGGAAGGACTCACTGCAAAAGGGTGGATGGCCTTGAGGCAGCGAGGTCTTGAACAATGACGCCAGACCGGTCATGATGGCTTCCCACTACAGGATTCGTTGTGTCATGCGCAGACTGAGGAACAGTGACCCAGTTGACGAGGGCTGCCCTCCGTTGCACAGGTGAACGCGTTGCTCTGACTTATTTACTGATTGGTCATACTGCCTCCCTATCCGTCCCTATCCCTTTTGGCACAGGGACTGTAGCATCAATAGAAACATTCGTTTCAAAAAAACCACAACCTCCTGCTGACGGGCTGTTTGCTTCAAACATCCTAAAACAATAGGTCAGCATTTTCGTGTGGAATAGACTACTCTGGTGTGTTTGTGTTAGTAGGAAGCGTCACCCCACACCCTCCCATACACGCCAGCGTGCTGGAAATTGATGGAGCTTCCTGTAAGGCGTCTGTCTGGATGCATAAGGAGCTATTAAAGTGGACATGAAAGAAGAACCCGCTCACCATTTGCGTTGATGTGCATTACACAAAATGGCAGATCAACCAGTGATAGGTGCCTTTTTAGTTCAACTGTGCCATTCATACTCAAAGCAAAACGTCTGTCTGGATGATACTCCCTTCTCACTTTTATAGGAAAACTATCCGCGGTGGTAGCAGGATTGGACCCAACGCTACTCCCTACACTAAATCGAGTTTGTTGATCTCCCAGTAATCGCTGAATTGGCAGGAGGCTGTGATGCCTCGAGGTCTAGCAAACTCCTAGCAGATTCAGTCCTTAACAGTTCTCTTCATAGCAGATAACCCGGCCCACAGTGATGACCGTGCGGTTGTCAGCCTCCAAACGCCATACGAAGCAGAGACAAGGTCATGCAGGTTAAGATTACATCAATCCAGTTATTGCCAGTTAGAGAACTCACTCCGTCACTATATTCTTAACCCAAAGTGGCTTTATAGAGAAAATAGTGCTTATTTGTTAGAGCAGGCGGTCTGTTCTGACCGGTTCATGAAACTTGGCAACTGAGCGTACTACCCGTACGGAAATCAGATTCGTAAGTCAGTAAAAGAACAGCGAAGAGTGCGGGGAGAGGGGGGCAGTTTACTGAACAAGATCTGTTTGTAGACGTTGAGTGCGAAATACGCCCAAAACTGGCAAAAAGCCTGGAGAAAAAAATCGAGGTATCAGCCATAACCGAAGTAATAGCGCGTGGTTTATAATGACTGCCGCTAAATAGGACTAAACAAAGAAACAGTTCTCAATTTTTCAATAATCGCTACTTCTGATTAAGTAAACTGTCGAATAAGCAACGACGCTCCATTCTTAGTAAGTGTTTCCACATGCTGGGGGTCTGAAGTGCGGCGGCGGTAAACCCGGCACAGCAAGTGCGCGTGTCGGAAATGACGATGCGTCACCGCGTCCCTCTGGCCGCTTGGACTGACTATTAGTCATCGCTTCCGGAGGCGGACGGCGTAAAGTGCAAATTTAGCACGCTCGGACCGTGCGCCGGTGGTTCAGTGGTAGAATGCTCGCCTGCCACGCGGGCGGCCCGGGTTCGATTCCCGGCCGGCGCAGGGTGCCTTCTTTTCCCTGTCCGCATTCTCCTGGTCATTTTTCACCAAAGCAAACCATTGCCGATCATCAAATCCCTTCGATTTGCCCTTTCAGAGTTCTAATTATCGGTTTGAATTTCTGAGCTAGTTTGTCTTTACTGACGTTTCTATTCTCTCAACTCTTTCCTTCCTACTTATGAGTCACAAAGGCATCTACATATCGAGCAGCGACGTACGTATATAATTACAAATATGCCTGCGATAACTCCGTATATAATTATATACGAATGAATTGGAACGCAGGCATCCCAAGAAATATAAATTGAAATCCAAAACGTTCTTTGGGAAAGGGAGAAAACTTTATTGAGTAAATTTTCGACGTCGGTTCCCCGTGTCGTCGTCAGACTAGAGTAAATGTGCTGAAAACAATTAAAATTTCAAACGTGCTACAAAATCAATACTCATTTGGTGCCTCAGCTAGTAAGCTGCCGTCGTATGTGTCAGTCCGTATTGATCGGCTTTCGTCTCTTCCACTTTTCTCTGAGATTCTTGTACGTGGCATCTAACTCGATATGCCTGTTGATGCTTGATTCATCGGAGTGCATGGCTTCAAGAAACTCTCGGCCTTTTTTAGGTGGGCAAACTCCGACGATGCGAGTTTTGTCCCATGCGAAATTGTGCCCAGTATCAAGAGTGTGCATGGCCATTTGAGACGTCTTATAAGACGTACTTAAGCCAAGCATAATTAGCAGTGCCGCTGTGTAGCGCCGTATCGCGACCTTCCACTGTCGTTCCCACAGAGACCAAGTGGGCAAGATCCGGCGTAACTAGGTCATATCCATCGCGACTTTTCCACAGCGAGTCGCTGTTGTCTCGGTATGGAATTGCCGCTATAGGGTGCCACCGACGCGGGTGTGGTCCGTGACCTCGAAGATCCGACCTCGATTCGCCATCTTAATAAGAAGCTCGAATCAAACTCGGCATGTTGGACAACAGTGAGCTCGAAACGCTCTCCAGACATCGGATTTGCGATCTCAATCCGAACTCGCAACGAGTTCGCTTTTTTATTAGACATGCTGTGGTGGGTTTATCGCAGGATTCCTTGGCGTCCTCGTTATTCTCAATTGTTTCCTCAAATTTAGAACAGCGTTATTTTTGCCTAACGTACCACTAATGACAGGCCTTCACCGCCTAAATAGCAGATCGCGCAGTCGACGGCCGAGCGTCCTGATTGCATCCAACCGTGCATACAGGCGATGGTGTCCGACCAATGGACGCTCAAGTTGCATAAGCGACTTAATCGATGACGTGTCAGAGGTCGCTATTTCGAAAATCCGCTGTTTCAGTATGTCGAATCGATTTCGGTTGCCACTGGGATCGCAACATAGTCTTTTATTTTCCGAAAAGGATAAAGCATATGGCCGGGTAGGTTTACTGTCCAGAACCGCTTCTATATTTACCTCAGTAGGCGCTGTTCAGCAACGTTTTGGTCGGAAGCCATTCACGCCCTGTCTTCCGTAGAAGGCCGCGAAACATCGAGGGATCTTCAAGTCCATGGAGTCTCTTCTACTAGGCAAACGCAGGTGGGCAGAAGTTCTGCTAGAAGATAAAGAAGCATACAGATGGTGAATTTGGATAGTTTGGGCAGAGGATGCCTTGGTGGGTTTGGCAATTGCCATGCACGCTTAAGGAAACAGGTCGGGAAACTGACTTGTCCAGCTGGCAAAGGTGTGGGAGAAACCGCCTCAACAAGTTGGAGAGGCTGCCTGATTAAGGGAGGTATCTGCTGCAGAGGAACTTCACCGGACAGTTCGGCCGTCGCGAACGACGCTCACTGTGTTCCAAACTGTGTGAATTAGTTTTTAGTGGTAGCAGTCAAAAGGTCTGGAAGCGTGTGCTATGCCAGTATCAGCAAACCATGGCTCTCGCAGCCTGGCATGCGCTGGCAGTTCCCTGACACTTGTTTCCCTGCCGGTAGTTGCGCCTGCCCTCCCGCTGGGTATACAGGTCGAGTACATGGCTGCCCGGTCATCATCCTCGTTCTTCTGGCTCCTGTTGGGGTGTTGTTGTCGTTGTTGGTGAAAAATCCTGGTCAAGTGTAAGTTGTGGAACAGGGAGTGTGGTGGCACGCCTAGGTGCGGGTTCGGCCGCGCCAGTCACCTGCGCATTCTCCAGCCTCCGGTCTTCTTGACTCTGTCTTCACACCGAGTCCAGGTGGGGAGTGGGGGGGGGGGAGAGTGCGGCAGATGCTGCGCAAATCCACTATCATTTTAAACTTATTCACGCACAAGTCGCTGTACCTGTTGTAGTTTTATGTGTCGCACACGGTGGACATCGTCGGAATCGAAGTCTAAACTGTCAGTGAGAGCAGGCTTGCACAGCGTCTGCCGCACTTTCACCTCATCACCTTCTAGCAGAACAAAGTCATTACGACCGGAGGGGCGATCTGACATAGTGGTTTACAAGCCAAACAGTCCAGTTACGCGTTCCACAAACGACCTGGTCTTCGCCAACCAGTCACTTCGATACTTCACACAGTACTGACCACGTAGACCGATTTCCCCCGTCAGCTAGTAGCTTTTAATGCCAGGACTTTTAGCGTGTCATGATAGATTTAAGCGCGTCGAACTGTTGATAGTGAGGATTGCGCTGATGTGTCGTGGTGGCGGTCTTACTCTCCCTTCCCTCCTCAATGTACCAATCAATCGTCCGAGCCTGTTAAACGGCTGCTGATGGACTTGGGCTCAGTGGCTGACAAAACTACGATGCTCTGTGTACGTGTGCAACACCTGTAGGTTGTAGGGGTGTCCAGCGGCGGGTTTACGTGATGGTCGTAGTAGATCGCTCACTTGCTTGCACGTGCAGACTAGGCCTAGCGTCCATTTGCTGGCACCCAACTCTTACATGTCGCTCCCGAAGCTAGGCTCTGCTTAGCGGTCACACCCCGGGAACCGCCTCTACCGGCGGGCTAGACGAGGTGAGGGTATCCGTGTGTGCATCTGCACACACGGTACTGTGGTCTCCGCTTGCCGGATTGATCTTCGCGTCGGCATCGACCAGACGACAGCAAGAGGCGAGGGGGAGTGGCCTAGAAAAGATGCCCTAAACAACTGCTGGCGATCCACGCTGTCTGCAGGCTGACCGTGGTCGCAGACGGTAAACTCACGGTCGTGACAACCAACAAAGAAACAACAACCACAACACTATCTCCCTCATCCTCTTCCTCCTCCTCCTCCTCTTCCTCCTTCCCGTCGCCCAACTCGCCAGACTGGTAGGGCTAGTATGCTCACTCTGGCAGCCTGGAATGTTCTTTCCCTTTTAGTCAACCCGAGGAGTAACCGACCGGAACGGAGGACGGCGTTAGTGGCTCGGGAATTGGCGCGGAACAAGGTGGATATCGCAGCACTCAGCGAGGACCGGTCCTCCGAAGAAGGCCAACTGGAGGAGATGGGTGCCGGCTACACCTTCTGGAGCGGTCGCCCCAGGGCAGAACGACGGGACGCGGGTGTCACCTTTGCCATCCGGAACTACATCGTGGGACGACCGCCCTTTCTGCCGCAGGGCATCAAAGATCGTTTGATAAGCTTCCGCCTGCATCTTCGAGGAGACAAATTGGCTACTATCCTCAGCATCTACGCTCCACCGATGACCAGCCCTGACGCCGCAAGGGACAAATTCTACGAGGACCTGCACGCACTCCTGGCGACTGTGTCGAAGGTGGATAAGTTGATTGTCCCTGGTGACTTCATCGCCCGCATCGGCACAGACCGTGCTGTCTGTAGATGGGTGCTAGGTCCCCATGGTCTCAACGACTCCAATGACAATGTCCTGCTCCTTCTGTGGACCTGCGCAGAACACCGACTCATCCTGACAAACACCTTCTTCTGTCTGCCGATGTGAAAGAAGGCCCCCTGGTTGCATCCTCGGTCACGTCAATGGCACTCGCTGGACTATATCCTCGTCCGGAGGTTAGACCGGCGCGACGTGCTGGTGACAAAGGCGATCCCGGGTTCTGACGGGTGGACCGACCATCGTCTTGTCATCTCGAAGATGCATATTCGCCAACAGCCTCTCAGAAGACCACAAGGTATGCGACCCCCAGGACTGGTTCGACGACAATGACGCCGTCATCAGCAACCTGATCGCCGAGAAGAACCGCCTGTATAAAGCCTACGTCGACCGCCCCACCGACGATAACGGAGCTGCTTTCTACCGTAGTCGCCACCTTGTACAACAGCGGCCGATGAGATTCACGGATACGCGGACCGCAAAGAATGAAAGAACTTCTTCTCCACGATCAAAGCTGTCTACGGTCCGCCAACCAAAGGCAATGCATTTTTTCTCGGCGCCGACGGCAGCACCAAATTTTACAGCGATAGGCCGAGCACTTCTGAGGCGTCCTCAACCGTCCCTCCACCATCTTCGACGCTACCATTGCCCGTCTGCCGCAAGTGAAGCCAACGTGGACCTCGACCTTCCACCCTCTCTCCACGAAACCATCAGGGCCGTGCATCAGCTGTCCAGCGGGAAAGCGCTCGGATCGGACACGATCCTTGCTGAGATCAACAAGCACAATGCCCCCCAACTCATGGGGCATCTGACGGCACACCTCCAGGAGATGTGGCGTCAAGGAGAAATCCTGCAGGATTTCAAAGACGCCACAATCGTGCATCTCTACAAGCGAAAAGGGAACTGCCAACTCTGCAACAACCACCGAGGCGTCTCCTTGTTGAACATCGCCAAGAAAATTTCCGCTCGCATTCTTCTCAGCCACCTGAACAATCACCTGGAGCAAGGTCTTCCACCGGAAAGCCAATGCGGCTTCCGTCGTCATCGTGGGACCACGGATATGATCTTCGCCGCCCGAGAAGTGCCAGGAGATGCGGACCCACCTGTACTCTACCTTCGTGGACTTGACGAAAGCCTTCGACACGGTGAATTGTGAAGGACTGTGGAAGATCATGCAGAAATTCGGCTGTCCCGAGCGATTCATTCAGATGGTGCGTCAGCTGCACGACGGCATGATGGTGCGAATCACGGACAACGGAGCTGTCTCAGAGGCATTCGCAGTGACCACGGAGTGAAGCAGGGATGTGTGCTGGCGCCTACCCTCTTCAGTCTTATGTTCTCTGCCGTGCTGATGGACGCCTACCGTGATGAACGCCCCGGGATCCGCATCTCCTACAGGACGGACGGTCACCTTTTGAATCAACGGCGGATGCACTTCCAATCGCGCGTCTCCCCAACCCCCGTTCACGAACTTCTCTTCGCCGACGACTGCGCCCTGAACACCACTTCGGAAGAGGAGATGCAACGGAGCATGGACCTCTTCTCTACTGCCTGCGAGAACTTCGGTCTGGTCACCAACACGCAGAAGACGGTGGTCATGCATCAGCCGCCACCCAACACAGTCCCTCCCCCCAACGCGCCGCAAACCAGAGTGAACGGAACCCAACTGCAAGTGGTGGAGAACTTCCCGTACCTGGGCATTACCCTCTCCCGCGGCACCGAAATCGATGACGAAGTGACCCGCAGGATTTCGAAAGCCAGTCAAACCTTCGGTCGCCTCCAAAGCACAGTTTGGAATCGTCATGGTCTCCAACTCAGCACGAAGCTGAAGATGTAGAAGGCCGTCATCCTGCCGACGCTGCTGTGCGGAGCGGAGACTTGGACAGTGTACACAAAGCAGGCACGCCGACTGAACCACTTCAACCTCAATTGTCTTCGTCACATCCTGAGACTGTGCTGGCAGGATCGCAGCCCAGACCTGATCATAACACACACTCGGTTGTCGGAAAAACTTCTCCTTACTGCTTTTAGATCCCTTCTAGTTGCTCATTTGGCCATCTCCCTCTTGCATACAATTCGGACATTTTAAAAAAGAGCCTTCACCTCTCACGTGCTTTGCGTGGGGACCCTAAGGACTTCCCCACATCAACAAACCGTCCTACTCCCCTAGTGGAGAATATCTCACACGCGCTCGATCAGCATCTGTTCGGATATCAGCTGACGTTAGCGAGCTGATAGCGGACTCAAGGTACGCCTTTCCAGTAAAACTTCCTTGTTATGCATTAAGAGAGTGTGCAAACATCTGGTAAGTCCTAATTCTCTTAAAATCATAAAAATCATGAAAATGAAGGATCGGCTGGACGCAGGTAAACAGTCGGGCGTAGTCTATCGAATCCCGTGCCAAAACTGTCCTTGCCACTACACAGGCCAGACAGGACGACGTCTGAGCTCACGAATACTTGAGCACAAACGGGCCGTTCGGAGAGGCGACCCACTGTCTCAAGTAGCCACTCACACGCTCGAGGAAGGGTATGAGTTCGAATTCGCCAACACGCGGATATTGGCGCGAGCCGGCAACAAGACAGGGCGAGAGCTGTTGGAGGCGTGGGTGTCGGACACCAACTCCATCAACAGACACATCGATTTGCCTGCGTGTTATCACGCGCTCCGCCCACGCAGCCAGGTGGCGCAGCTCACACCGTCGCGAAGTGCAAACGGCGTCACCACGCCGGGGGAACATCGTGGACGAGGCGGCACAAACTCTACCTAGCCACGGACGTACTCCCCCTCCCCCCCGCAAGGATGAAAGGTATAAATGTTCACAATTTGCTGCACTCGAGTAGCCTCTGATAATGAACTCTAGTTCGAGTTCGAAAGCTCAGGCAGATAAACCTACTGTCCCAGTGATCGTGCCTTCGCCTTCTTTTAAACCTCCCGCTTCTATTAATTAGAATAAAAGAAGCCGCTTTGCCATTAACTATGTGGCACTTTTTTCCAGCGTTTGCATGGATCCGAAAAAATAGGAGCAAAGAATAATTTTTCAAAAAGTGGCGAGGCTTGTTCCGTGGGGAGGAGAAGGAAAATTCATAAAAAAATAAAATACCGCAAAATCATGCCGATTTTCCATCCGTTTCCTGTATCTCCCCTTCCGCCCCAACGGCAGTCCGAGACGTCACCTACTTGGCGACGGATGGAATCTGTTCTGTATCGCCGCTGTGGCCACCAGGTTTGGTCAGACTGCCTCCACCAAGACCGCTAAAGCCAAAGAGGCTGGCAAACTGGTCCCGGAGATTGGGTAACGTGGTTTTCCCACCTCGCAGGCGCCGCGGTTGTTGAGATGTTGGTGGCGGTGTACAGGAGGATTTCAGACAGGAGAACTGAGGTTCCAGCTGCATGGCCTCCGCCACAGATACCTTGAGAGGTCGGCTGAGTAACGCGGCTGCCCCCTGGCTTCGTCTGCGTGGACCTATGGGGTTCATAGTACCCGGCTCCACTGCACAAGTGGGGCTCGAGGCACTGTCGCTCTGCTTGAATCCGTCGGCGTGACTGACGTTCTCTCCCTCCTCGCGGTCAGCCCGCCAACTGCCGGTCAGACCCGTCTTCTCGCCTCCGGGGCGCTCGACTTGTGGTCGAAAGTGGGAATCGTTTTCCTCATCATCATAGTCACTATCTTCCTCATCATCATAGTCGTCGGCAGTTCGAGTAGCCAGGCTGCTCTTTGAGGTCTTACTGGTGAATCCTGAACTGCGGATAGTGCTGGTCTGCTGACTGTTGCCATGCATACGTGTGGTTCCACGTCTTGACTCCTCACCATTTTCGAGCTCCACCAGGTCGTTGACAAGACTCAGCAAGGCGTTGTGCGCGTCGACAAACTCCGCCTCCTCCATGCCCTCGCCCACGTACCAGTGCAGAAAGGCCCGCCGGTTGAAGAGGTTCATAAAGGTCTTATCTATCTCCCCGAAGACCTCTGCAATGGTTGTGTTGTTGGTCAGCATGACGACAGAGCGGTCTACTTTCTGCGGCCCCATGCCCGGCACGCTCACCTGCGGCTGTGGTGTGTAAGCGATTTTGTAGCCCGTAGGGCACCAGCTAACAGTGGAGAGGTAGTCATTCCGCATCTTCTGAATGGCCTTTGCCACATCCGCGATACTGTGATCACCGCGGTAGGTCATACACGTGGCCATCGCTATACCATCAGCCAAGTTGGCTGAAACGGTACGGTGACTGCTATTAAAAACCAATCGGGTGAGCACCTCTGTGGAGTACTTATCTCGCTCCGATGTGATGTCTGTACAGAAGGGTGCGAAAGAAAGCATAGGGAAATGAGCTCGTGGGAAGGGCACCAGATTGGTGAGGTACTCCGTGATGTGAGCATTGAGCTGGCACTTGAAACGCATAGTCGCGGTGACGCCAGCAATCAGCGGACTGATGACTCGATTCACACTGGTGTAGGTCGGCCGCAGAATGGAGAGTTGGTTGGTACAGATCTCGTAGAGGGCTGAGTTGTCAAAGATGCAGTTAATGTCGCAGAAATCCGCCGATCGGTACAGGTGATGTGCTGTGTTGTAGGCTTCCACGGGGCCGGCGGCCAATTTAGATGAGGGGATCAGGCTGAACTGCATTGTCCTCTTGCCGGCGAATTCAGTGCAGAGACGTTCCTGGAACATGGAGAGCAAGCCACTGCCGGTGCCACCACCGAGGCTGGACATGTTGAGAAAGCCCTGGAATTGGTCACAGGCCTCCACCACGCGACGAGTACAGTTCACAAGGGCGCCGACCACTTTGCAACCGAGTGTGTAGTAACCACGCGCAAAATTTCCCGCGGCGTCCTCACCTCCCGCCAGTAGACTGTCTGGGCAGTAGAGGTCCTTGTAGGCACCTGTGCGGACTTCGTCTGATGGACAGAAATGATACATTAAGGCTCATTGTCAATTGCCTTTGGAGTAGAACGTGGTATAACCACAAAAGAAGTAAAACGAAGTTGTTGCAAAAGGGCTAACAAATGACCAGTTTGGTAACACTTGAATCGACCGTTCGACTGTCGTTGTCGACGATGCCCACCGTGTGTTCCCCAGAAGGGTGAAAGCAGAGACGGCGAATTGCATGTGAATTAGTTTGTAATGATTGTGGACTTGCGCTGCATCTACCAGACTCTATCCTCACTCCTACAGTAGGTGGGCTAACACATGAAATGTCGACCGAAATTCCGAAATGCTTTTTCGTTTCGAAAAGATTAACTAAGTAGGATTGTAAAACTAGTCAGCCTGCAACATAATTCTATAATATTTCAGTTACCTCAGGATGCCGTCTTTCGAATGAACGTCCTTCCGGCTGCATGCAAAAACTACACTCTGTAAAAAATGACTACTTATGTTGCATGCATTATTCTCATTCGTTTTCCACGCCGCTAAAAGTCCAGTTGTATTTTATGGAAAACATGCACACAACTATCCATTCTTTTGTCCATTCGGCAGACAATTGCGTCTTCTTCCAGTCTTATACTCGATAGAAGGGTATAATTCGGTTTTCAAAAACATTTCCAATTCCCGAGTAATTTTGAACCCGCTCTACCGTTACATCTAGATTCAGGGTCCCAAACTACAAACGGTATATTTTCCTCGTACGGAAAGCCACACATTTCTCTACGGTAATAAAGGGGGACCATATAGGGTTCATAAAATTTAACAGTGGATTTGATCCATATTGTCAACTTTACAAGGCACATTGGTAAATACAGAGTTATGAAGATTTATGAACGGCCATTGCACGGTATTTAAAATTCCCACAATTAGAAACTTTTTAAAAACCTAATTATGTCCCTCCTTCAAGTATAAAATTAAAAGAAGACGTAATTATCTACCGAATAAGCTGGAGAATGAATATTTTTATGCATGTTTTCCATGAAATATAATTGGACTTTTGGGGCATCGAAAATTAATGAGAAGAATCCATGCTACATAAGTAGTCATTTTTTACAGAGTATAGTTTTTGCATGCCAGCGGAAGAACGTTCATTCGAAAGCCGGCAGCCTGAGGTAATTGAATTATTACAGAATTATGTTGCAAGATGATAAATTTTACAACCCTACTTAATGAATCTTTCCGAAACGAAAACGCATTTCGGAATTTCGGTTGACATTTCATGAGTTAGTCCATCTACTGTACTCGAGTCCGGTGTCAAGAAGACCGGGGACGGGAGTAGACACACGCAGGACGCAAACCCGCACCTAGGCGCACCACCACCACACCTCCTGGTCCACGACGGACACCGACCAGGATTTTACACCAAGGGACAAAGAGGAGACGGTACGGATCCCATCTGGCGCGGCTGTAGCTAGGCTTGCCGCCACATCCCCACCGTCGGCATTTATTACAGACGCGCATATCCGATAACTCCTAATGGACTCCAATCTAGCCCCTGCATTGGTCCAGCGCATCTACTGCGTGGCCCGCTTTAGGGACAAGTAACACTAGAAAACTCTGATCGCACAAACGATGTATTTGAGGGAACAGGTGACTGAAATTGACGTAGTGTCTCTCGATTTCATTTCGAGTAATCTCAGTATGTTTTTTTTCGACGGAGCCCAGCGCATAAATTCCCCTAACACACGTCTGAGAGCCCGTAGTGCTAGTAGTCTTATGATGAGCACTTCCAACATCGATTGAAAAAAAATGAATGTCTTAATTAATGCAAATAAGAAGAATGATTTTATCACCCAATTCTGGCGGCATTATCTCAATAAATAGTATACTAGGCAACAAATGTCGCGTCCCTCCATGGGCTATGTACGCTAAACTGCCTCAGACAAGTTGATGACGACTGCACAAAACTTTTCGTATGGTAATCCGTACTACCCAATGGAAATAAGTAGCAACTATATCAGCGTTAATTACATGTGTGCATACCTGTTTATTGTCCGCATTGTGTGCTTTGTCTTGCACCCTGCAATGGGTCGGAGTCGCCTACACGGGACCACGCAAGAGCTGCGCTGGACCAACTCGGGGCCAGATTAGGGCAGGACACGTGTTATTTTGACTGCGCACCCATAACAAATGTCACACATGGGGCGAGGGGAGAGTGTCGTGCCCAGACGCTGGCTCATGCCGTTTCACCGTGTGGCTGTTCGACATTCTTGACTGGAGTGCTTGCTCCTGGACGCCACAGTAGCGTTCGTCAGCCACATCGCAGCCCTCATGCAGAGCTTTCAGTCCACAATTTGTTCTTTTCGGGGCCAACACCCGACTATGATTGAAAGTCGCTTGAAAAGGCTGGGGCTTGACTGACGAACAAGAATAAATATTCTTGAAATTGAATTGTAGGCAGCCCGCTTACTGCAGCTCGTCACTGCTTTACCACCAGAAGTCCATACTTCATCCCGTAATTAGATCAGACTGCCTAGTGTCATTCCTGTCTGCATGCTACTGCATCATCCAGATACGAAAACCTACATGTGCTTCAGTTACATAACCTTGAACATGCTTACTAACACGACAGAAAAGGAAACTGTCAGCGAGTGAGTGTCCCTAGACTTTATCCACTTCCAGCCAGTTAGAGAAGGACGTGGAACCAGCTGACCTCAAGCTCTCGCCATGCTGGTGTTAGGTCACACGCGGCTCAAGCCCTCTACTGATGGGGGGAGGGCGTTAGGCTGACTGACGGCGGCATGGGTGAACGGCCGCATCAACGATAGCGGAGGCAGCCTGTGACACCTCCTTGTGACTCAGTAGGGCCCATTAAACGCCTGCCATGAGCCAATCCGGTTCCCGTTCGGATCCAACGCGACCGCAGCGTGGTAGAATAAAGTTCTCCATAGTGCTCGACGCCGCCGGGATTTGCACATGAGCTACTCTATGATATCTGCGAATGTCTCTGATGATGGATTCGAGTGAGAATCCGAAACGCCAGGCCAATAAATTTCTTGTTCGAGTGATCATATCTTCGTCTTCTGACCGGCTCATTCCTTTAGCTACCGTTATATGCGTTCCAAACGTGCGCTGGTTTTCCTCGTCAGCGGAATCAAATTCCATGCAGATATTAACAAGAGATGGTATGGCAGCTCTGTTAAAAGGAGACAGTTAAGTCCTGGCTCTCAGGTCCAAAAGACAGTTGGCGGCGCGGTTGACAAACTGTTAATGCGCAGTGGTTTTCCGAATGAACTTAGGTTGGGATTTGGCAAGGAAGCGCTGCTCCGCCATAGACCCCATTGTTTTTCTGTGAGCTGGAATAAGTTAGGACGACTGCAGCTGTTGATGGGACACGCGTTTTTGTCCGCAGACTTCTGATACTTTCCCATAACTTGATCAGAATGCGCTCTGGCAGGCATTGCAGTGTGCGTTTCACCTGACTGACCAAAACAAACAATTCTGTGCATTTTGTTGGACAAAATCACAAAGCTTTTGAGCACAGCTGGCTTTCGTAGAGGCCACTCGTTTTACCTCGTCCCTTCTGTATTAGCTATCATCTTCTTCTCCCGCGATTGTGACCAACCCTCTTTCTGTATAATTTTTCAAGGCAGAATCATTCGGCACTTCCTCCTTTTCTTGGGTTTTCTCTTCAGGGAGTATGCTCTTCCGAAATTTTCCCTACATAAGAACATTTGAGCTTATTCACCGGTTAGTTGGACTTAGGTGTTTCAGGCGGCCACAGAATCAAATATTTTGGCAACGACGCAGTATTCGACCCCATCCAGAATGCGGACGATAAGTCATCGTGTCTTACGGGACCGGTGGAATTAGGGGTTATATGGATGGGGCTAATGAATGGAAGAGATAGAGAGAGCGGTGAAAAAGGGTGAAGTTTTGGGAAAATGTCCTAATTCCGTGCATGGCTTTGCAAGCGATCCGGAAAACTGGATACTAGCGAGATTTATCGTCAAAAACCAAAGGAAGCTAAATATATCGCCCGCACAATAAAGCGCCAAGTTCAGAGATCAAGGCAGCGAAAGAGCCAATAGAAACCCGAGGATGAACGACGTCGGTGAACCCCATAAGAGTAAAGTGGAAACGTCGACTCAACGACATGACATAATGACGCAGAACAGTGGTACACAGAGAAGCCGGCAAGGTGTCCAGCAAAGGTAAAGTATACGAAATTGGCATATATACCAAGCGACAAATAAGCTGAATGTGACATTTAAGCGGAAATTTGTAATCCTAAAAAAGGCTATCAGTGTACCCAAATTAAACAATGCCACTTTTTAAGACAGCAATAAGTAATATGCAAGGTTGGTTCGCATATTGCGTTCTTTCCAATATTTTATTCCATAAAATTCAGGTTCGGCGTGCAGGCGAGGCATCAGGCACCTGTTTCCACTTGTCATGTTCAGACAGGGACCATAAAAACGGCCCAAAGCGGAGACCAGCTTACGGTACGGCACGCGTTACGCAGGCTGCGTAGAATCTGTGAGTCCCATACCAGCTGTACAACATGGAGAGATGTGGTAACACGCCTAGGCGCAGGATCCGCGCCGCGCCAGCCACTTGCTTCCAATCCCAACCCAAGATGATCGACTGGCTCGGACCATCGATTGATGCATGAGAAAGGGAAGTGAATGTAAAATTGACGTTGGGGAATCATTCTCCGCAATGCTTCAGCACACCTCTCACCAATCTGAATTTGACGCAGTTGAGTCTATCACGGCGAGCTGGAAGTCTTGAATTGGAAGGCGGCCATCTGACGGTGTAACTCCATCCTGGGATTCTGTGGCCTTTTTTAATGTGGTCTCTATGACCTTGCCGCTTAGATTGGATCCGTGCTGCTCCTTTTTTCATTGAGAGCCTGACCCACTTTGCTCGGGCCGACCAGGTTGTGCGTGGCACGCGTAAACAGATCATTTAGCCTGTCAGTCAGTGTTCCCGATCCCGCCTGCGGTCGTCTTTACTATCCTGCCATCGAACCCAAGTGGATGAGGAAGGGGCTAGTGCAGTATGCGTTGCGCAAGTCTACTGTCATTATGAATTACTTCCCGCGTAAGTCACCGTCCTGGGCTCACTATGTTGTGGGGTATATGGTGAACATCTTCCATCGCGACGGTCGAACTGTGTGTGTTCGGAGCAGTACGTTGCTGAGAATAGCGCGGAAAATTTGCAAGACAGTTAAATCCAATTTCTACAATCATCCAGTGCTATGTGGATGTGGAGTCTGCCTGTGCGTATCCAGACAGCGGTGATCCTTATCGAGCGCCGTTTCTTCTTGCTAGTGGCGCCGGTGAGACGGAGGCTTCACTCTACGCCAGGCGCTGAACCCAACCTACTCTTCAGTCGACTTGGATCGAGCGTGTCAATGGTGTGGTAGAAAGGAGAGTGATTACGGTCGCTTTAACGGGCATCCAACACTCATTTTCTTCACTCTAAACAACGAAAACACGTTGAAACTATCACGATACTATCAATCACGACTCAGAAGACTGTTTGTTGAAGTTATACCTAGGTCCTCCTCCGGACCAACGTGACTCTCTACTGTTGTCTTTGTGTCAACTGACTTTATTGAACGACCCGAGCCCCGTTTTGACGTAATTGGTGGGCTCTCCATTCGGTAAGTCAATATTTGGGTTGTCATTGCAGATATCCGGTAAATAGGCACGGAATTGGCCATAAATATACTTTTACTTTATCGTTGATTTCGGGTATCTGTGGGTAAATCAGTTGTAGTAGTCTTGACTGTTCGGATATAAAAAATTGGTTTGTAGTTCTGTCCCAGTCATTAAATTCCTGTGTGAGGAAACAAATGTTCAAAAATTATATATTTTGGAGTGCTCGAACCGCACGTTTCCTTGTGTGCCTTCTACGGGTGAACCATTTTTCGCTATTAAATAGGCTATGTTAAATTTCCGTAAAAATTACTTACTGTGATTAATTAATAGCGCAAGGTTTGTTTGTTGTAACCGTTTATGTCATGTAAATAAAGTAGCACCTTGTCAATGAGGCCTGTTTTTACGGCAGGCGGAGGATGCTGTGCGTTCAACTACATTACGATTCCGTCTTTTTTGAACATCCACTTCCTATAATTTCAAGGATATGATGATATGCTCACTGGCAGCTTGGAAACTCGTCCCTCATTCTTCTCATTAGGCGATGAGGCAGTGGGGAGTTTCCTAGCCCTTCACTTCGAATAAAGCTTATTTACATATCTGCTTGGGCGTGCGACCATTTCATAACCTTTCAACCATTCTGCACTTTCCCTTCCGCCACTGACCAATCAGGGCTAAGAAATTCTACCTACCAATCACGGTTGGCTCCAGGTCGGCGAAAATAGTCCGAGGCACAAATTTTTCATGCGGTTTGATCTGGTTGAAGATGGTGCCCAACGATTGCAGTTGGTCCACATCGGGCTCGTAGGAGGTGATGCCATTCGCTCGCATCCCATGTTCCAGGCAGAGCAGTTCCCATAAGGCGTTGCCCATTTGGATGCCCGCTTGTCCCAAGTGGACAGTGATGATTTCTCGCATTTGTGCCAACTGAGCGCTCCACGTGGTAGCCCGTTCTTGCGTTCAACGCTGACGCCTCGGTCACCGCATTGTCTCGTGGTCAAATGCACGTGCGTCATCTTATGCCGAAAATCGATAACTCCCGGTGACGCTAGCAAGTTACACTTTTAATTGAATCCGCTCACCGCTGTTTCCCCAGTTGACTCAATGCAAGTCCTGACGCTCAACTGAAGAAGTAGGCAGAATGAGGAACGTAAGCGAAGGATGTGGCGGAGGATTTTTCTGTCGATTTTGGGGAGGGAAGCAATTCTCCTTGACTCTGTATTTGGCATCGGAAATTCCACCCAGGGCGCATGGCCCAAAGCAATTCTGTTGCCGGAGCACAGATGAGACCTTAATTGACAGCGGGAGGGATTCGCCATGATCTGTGACCTTTTTTCATTGATAACCAGAATTCCAGATCGGTGCTTAGCTAAGCAGTATGAGCAGCGGCTGTTCATTCGTCAGGCCTGGCACGCAGCTAATTTTTATTGAAAGTGTAGCGACCCTACTCCGAACGCCTGTCGCAATGCTGAGTCTCTCGCGTGCGCAACAGGGTTGACTGACGTTCGCACACTCGGCCTCCAAACTGGCCAATCAGACTCAAGGTCGAGTCAGACGTGCTCTGGATTAAAACGCTTTGACGCATTCCCTAACTCACACTTGGGACACCGTTCTCCCTGCGCTGGGGTCACTCTCTTCTGACTGCCAACTCCATCCAATCCCTTTTTCAGTTGTTCCGTACAGAATACATCATCCGCCCAACTGGTGCCCGTCTTCTCTTCCCATTTTCGACCGGACCTGAAGGTCGTGGTATCCAGAGTCTCCCTCTCGGACGAGGCTTCAGCGATAGAGGTCGTTCCACTAGTCACCCTCCTATGACATGACGAATAACCGACGGCTAGGCTGGCAGGCAGGCCTCGTCTTCCCGCGGCTCTTGTCTGTCAAGAATATGGGAGGACCTGAATCAGCCAACTTGTCCGACCGCAGTACAAAGCACTTTAGCTCCTCAACTTGCAATACTGTACTGCAATACGGCCTCCTTAAGAAAACCTCTGAACTCAGCGCCCCCAACCGAATTGTTTGCTGTCTTGCGGATTTCTGATCTTCCCTGAACCATTTTGTCTTTCTCGATGATTGTGGAGCACTTCACCACACTAGCCGATCACCTCGGGTCCTTGGATTTCGAATTGATGACGCAAGTCTGCCCGATGGCCGGTAATGCACCAAAAAAATTCCGTTCTGGCAATTCTGACTCTACCAATGAGCCACGCGGTTGGCTAGAACCAAAGGAGGATAACGGCGAACTGAAAGTCACCGTTGAGTCAGATCCATCCCAATGTGCACATGAGTCATAGCTGATGATTGGTGTTAGCAGGAAAACAACATTAACTCACCTAGCTAAAGTGGGTAAAGTGTAAAGTTGGAGATGTGTGTTCCACATGAACTGAATGAAAAGCAGAAACAACAACGTTAGGAAGTTTGCTATTGCTTTCCGTCACAAAAAATGTTTAATTTTTAAAACGAATTTTAACGCGTGAGTTGAAACGGATTTATTACGATAACCATAAACCTTCACTACAGTGGTCGGACAGGGGCAAGTCACCAAAACACACCCCAAATCAAAGTATTCATCAAAAGAAGCAAAAAAGTTAAAGATGTCGAAGGGCATTGAGCACTTGGTCTCAAGTGCACCATTACGGTAACGACGTATAAGACCACTAAACACATGGTCTTAACTGTACCTTTGAAATTCCTAGCCTAGCCACTCGCTGGATAAGAAAAGAAGGAGAGGGAATGTAAAACAGGATTGGGATAGGGGTCCCATGTCACAGAAGGGGCTTGCCATGGTAACCGTTGCAACGTAATCGAATCTACTCAAATCAATTTAGTAGCTTAATGGTATAACGTTCCTAGAGTGCGGATGCAGGACCAAATCTTACCAGAAGCTGATAGTGGGCATATTTATGGTCTGTGCAGATGGCATTCATTATGATTTCATGAAACCCAACTTAAAAGCTTGCGAAGAACAGCCTAGGTTGGTAAACCAATTGACTCCTATCCTATTACACGACAACGCTAGGCCACACACCGCGCAGATGACGGTGGCAAAACTCCAGAAGTAAGAGTTGAAAATTCCCCAGCATCCACCATTTTCACCAGATCTTGCCCCTACTGACTGCCAATTCTTCAGGAATTTGGATAACTTTTTGATAGGAGAACAATTTAATCCCGACAGTGCTGTAAAACAGGCCTTCCAGGCATTCACTGACACCCCAATTACGAGACTTTTACACCATCGGACAGAACAAGCTGCCGTTGAAGTGAAAAAGTACATCGACAGTATGTTATATACTTTGATGAATAGAAACTATTCTTTGTATTTACAAAACACGATAAGATGCGGTCATGCAGCCGCACCTGATGAACACCATACTATTGACCTACTTAGTTATTTTGAGTAGGTATGATTACCTTGGCATGGTGTTGCTGTGTGTTGCAGTGTGTGTTCTGTCGGTGGCCTTGTTTCCTTGTTGCCGTGTCCACCTTCTTTCGGCCCAATGCCGATGGTCCTTCTTGGCTTCCGGCCTGTCGTCTCCTTCTAACTTTGGCGTTGGATGTTTCAGCTTTGGGGTTTATGGCTGCGGTTATTGGTTAGAGTTAAAGGGTTAGGGCTTAGGGCAACTATTTCCCAACCCCTCAAAGTACAACCGCTTATTCCCAATAGCTTTTCTTTTGCATATACTTACTGGACCTCGTCGCATGTGCGTCCCACGGCCCCACCTCTAAAAACCCCTACTACCACTGGTCCCGCATTACAGGTGACTGGGGTTTGTTTACCTCAGATGCGGCTACACAACCACATCTAACCCAAAACATTAACAAACTTTGTTTTTTCCACAAATTTTAAACTTGACGCCCTAATAAGGGGATGTATTCCTAGTTTGAGAGGCGTGCTTGATGTGCTTCCTGACGCCGCCGAGGTTTCTTATTTCCTGCCTTCTCCAACAGCTAGATATTGTTAGACGAATACTTGAAGATACCGATCGTGATGGCTGTGAAGTCACCCCGTACAACACCACCTGTTATCCATCAGATGGGAACAGGAATATGGATTGCCTTGCCCAAAGTTCCAGGGAGTTTTATGGTTAGGGCCAATTTATGGAGGCTTATGCTAGGGTTAGAGTTAAAGTTATAACTGGGGAATGGTTACCCGCCTGGAATCTAGCGCATTACGGGGTCCATATTTCGTGTCCAACTCCATCCACCTTTTCTCCTACCACACGCCGGATAGTTACACCACCTCTGATACGATTTCGACAATGCAATATGCCTAAAATACAGAAACAATGATTTGACTAGGCAGTCGCTAATCTCTACGGTGTTGCCTGTCTCTTCTGACACTCTGTCATTTAACTGACCCAGTTATGAAAATCTCAACCACCTCTGCGAGGTTCAAACCCGCAACAAACGGTTAACGTTCTAGTACAAACAGCGTACTAACCGTCTATGCTACGAGGTCCCAACTGAGTTTCTTCAAAAGTGAGCCCCTTAGCCATCTGGTAGATTCCGTCTTGCTTGTTTGAGAAATTCTGCTTGACCAGTAAACCCACTGCCCTCCATGGGCTGCTGTAGGTTGGAGGTTTAACATAGCCCAAATGTGAAAAATGCAACGTTCTCGGTCTGCCTGTCGTAGCACAGGTGGACAGGGTGCTAGTCGTACTAAATCCTTCCCCTTTCTGTCGCAGCTTCGAGTCTCCTTGGGGCCGCCAACTTTGCAAAGCCCTGAACTGGAGAGTGCAATATGCGAACGACGCACAGAAGGACATGAAAACGTGAATCATGCCTTCAATAAGACCATTTCTCCTATGCTCGGAAGTAGCACAGTGCGCAGGGTTAAGCTTGTACATAATCTATCGGGATTTCGCAACGATCGATGAAAAATGCTCCGGCAAGACCTTCGGGACGTTTGCGAGAGCACAGTTTTATTCCGCCGTTCATGGCTGAATACCGTGGACTTTCAAGGATCGCAGCAACCTTGAAAAAGTCTGATGAGGTGCAAGACAGCTTGTCCGAGGCAAAGGCCTGTAGCGGACAGCCATCATGACCGGTCTGGCGTCATTGTTCAAAACCTCGCTGCCTCAGGGTCATTCACGCCTTTCCAGTGAGCCGTTCCAGACGTGCTGACCTGAAGTCACACGACCGACAACTCGAACATGCCTGCGTCCGCACAGCTGTAGTTGCCCATGCGGCCACTTGAACGTACCGCCCCCCTGCAAGCGCAACCTAAGCCATTGGGTCACCACTCCTCGGCAAATACAACATGCACCGACGGCCGCCACTTGAGCTTGGCCCAGGAGTCTACAAAAGCGGCTGCCAGCACTATCTCAGGGACTCCCAGGCATGACTGGACGCAGTGAGCGCCAGCCCTCGCTTTGCCAGTGGCCGCTGCCGAGAGTACAACTGCGAGTCCTGTGTACATTAAACTTCACATTCAGTTTCCTTCTGTCTTCTCCCTGCAAAACTAGGATTTGCTCTGATTCTTGTAATGCACAGACATACACACTCACACCGCCTGCCGTAACAGGCTCACTATATCAGGCAGCACAATTGCCCCATCTCAGTCACTTCCCCTTGGGTTACAGAGAGCTAAGAGGTGACCCATTGCAGGAGTTTTGTATAATTTGGAGTCAGAACTGCTGTCCCGCCTCCGATGACTTCTTCGAACTGGCCAGTACTACTAGCTTGCGAGGACATCCGCTCAAACTACGTGTGATTGCGGCGGAACTAGATACGATGAGGTTTTTCGCCTCTAACTCAGTGACTGAGACATGGAACACTCTGCATGCGGACGTTATTATGTCCACATCCGTAGGCATTAGTAAGAGGAGGCTTGACCAATGGCAGTCCGATCGTCGTTACCAACAATGCCCACCGTGTGTTCCACAGCAGGGTGAGAGCAGGGACGGTGAGTTACACGTTAATCGATTCATAGTGGTAGTAGGCTTGCGCAATACCTACCTCAATCGCTCCCCCTCCCCCATCTGGATCCGCTATCAAGTTAAGAAGATCGGAGGCGGGAGAGAGCGCAGGTGGATGGTGCGACGAGAATCCGCGTCTAGGCGTACCACCTGGTCCGCAACAAACGTTTGACCAGTTTTTCGCGCCCAGAAGGAATGTGGGCAGCTCAGATCCCACTGGATACCAGTGCCATTGAGGCCACATTAAGAAGGAGCCATCGCAGCCTGACCCTCAGGCCACCAATCGACCATTCGACGCACAAGCACACAACTGGGCTGACTGCCTGGTCTGGGTTGAAGAATCAGTTGGCAACTTTCCAAGCCCATGACTTTTCGCGCACCGTGATGGTCCCAAGCGCGTCAGACTGCTTATAGTGAGAAACTGTGCGCGGAGAGGCGACCTCACTCGCTGTACCAGCCAACTATCCGAGACAATCAAACAACTGATGCTGAGATTGGGAGATGTGACTGGCAGAACTCAGAATGGCTCGTCTGCGCGAGCAACACACATGATCTGCCCCCCCCCCCATTGGCACACGTCAGGATTTCACACATAGGGGGGTCTCGTGTGTGATGGAGGAGCCGAATAACACACTTCGCACTTACGTGGGAAGTGCCGCTGTTGTGGGATGTTGGTGTCCATGTGTGGTGCATATGTTGATGAGGGGATGTGTGGCGATGTGGTCATGTCTGCCATGACTTACCGCAGGACTTCATGAAAGCTTATGTAATCGAAGGTGCAAAGACGATGTGGGCAACTGAGGCGATGGCGTCTAGCGTAGGTTGGTGTTCCAGCCACTGGCCTGCCAGTCTCTCTACGACGGATTCTCAGGTGGCCGACCAGCCCGCTGTGTGAGGCGGACGAGCGATGCTGGACGCGATGCTCGATGGGAATTCGACTGGGCTGGGGATGGAAGGGGTAAGTGATGTGCAAGGTGAGCTTGGCGTGTTTATATTGCGGTGAACTCCGCTGCTATGGATACGCATGTGATCGAATAGGGCTCATGTGGTGAAAAAAATGTGCGTGGTCAGCGTGGGCGGTGAAGACGGACCGGTGAGTGTATGCGAGGGCTCCTGACAGTGGTTCACCGGCCGCGGTGTGGTGAATTCGCAAGTGACCGACCAGGCAAATAGGTGAATGGAATGTAGGATCGCAATGGGGACAGGTTAGAACCGAGGCCACATCGCCCGAGGTGGGAATGATGATGGTGAGGGTGAGGGTGGTGGTGGTTGACGAGCCGTCGCGATTGTTCTGACCTGCGACGTGACAGGGAGCTGTGGTGGCGGTCGTTGTCGTCGCCGCCGCCGTCGCCACGGAGGTTGTGGCAGGGATGATGGAGATGGCGGTGGTCGACGGCGGGACATGGGAGTTCTGGTCATCGGTGGTGACGGTGGCCGTCGCGGACGCCGTAAGGGGTTGGAGAGGCAGCATTTTGGATTAGCAGACTGTTGGTGCATTTGGTTCAGAGATATCCGATGAGGCCGATCCGCGCGCGGGATGTTCGTTGGCAGCTCAGGCCCAACCTGGCCCAACCGCTGTTTCACGATGTGCTAAGGAGCGGTGAGACTATTAATATTCAGATTATCTTGCAATAGTCCGAATCCTGTGTGTGAGTTATTATTCATACTACAGCCCAGCTTCCGTAGAAGAGCAACTTTCGGTCTATGTGGCGACGGTTATTTGTACCTTCTACGACAGCTCCCGCCAATGTAAGTAGTTTTTCACCGTAGGGTTCTAGTCAGGAGTGGAATTCAACGGTCTTCAAAGTGTGAGTAGTCGTTTTTTGGATACACCATATGCGCTCTCTCGACAATGAGATTGGAAATGGCGTCATAATCTTTTTTCATTTAAATGACGGCGATTGCAAAGGTCGCATCGACGGTCGAGGCACGACAGATACTACTGATTTCTGCCTTTATGCCCCATCCGACAACGTAACTTCGCTTGCTTTAGCCGCATGGTAAGTTCTTTCACTTTTAGATAACTTAAAATCCAATCTGGCATAGGGAAGGAGCACTACGGTCTCCCGAGAGGACGTTTAATGAGGGGAAAATATCGTGAATTTGAAGCACCTGGTTGGCCTGGAGGACTGAAGGAATAGAAGAATAGGATGATAGCGAAGAATCTAAGACATCTTTCATGCCAAATAAGGGTTTACGGCAAACTGCCCATCAAAATTGAGCTACTGACTGCGCTTCTGTCAGTGAAACCAAGTTGCATGGAACGTCAGACCGAACTGGTTCGGAGCGTTTGTAACAGTAATCTACAATCTGTGAAGAGACTATATTCAGACTTCCCTTAACTGGAACCAACGCGGATCTTGATCTTACGTGGAAGCAATGGCCCGAAACAATGAATAAGTAGACTCCCAGGCCCAGGTTGGGAGCGATTGGATGTTGACATGGCAGGAGGCCCGAGATCAACGGGGCTTGCTCTGATTTTCATTTGCGTGCCGTTGACGTGGAGATGAGGAATATTGGGCAAGGTTTGGTTCCACAGCTTCCCCCCCCCCGTCCCTGAGTGACACCATTTGGTTTGCTTACTAAAGCCGTATTAGTTAACAAACCTAACTTGGCTGCCCGCTGGATTAGTGAGGGGAAGACAACGCAAGCAGAGCTCGAAGCACGCGCTAGGAAGCGAGTGAAGGTGGTGTGTACATACTTCCCCTTCCCCCAACACAGCCGCTCGCTGGATTGAGAGGATAAGGAGGACGCCAATCACAACTGGAAGGCCACGGAGGGAACAGCGTGTAATTCGCGGTGTATGGCCACTGTAGTGTAACTGACGGAGTTACACACCGTCCGAATAATGCCACTAGCAAGCCCACTTAACCGCCTGCTGGATTAGGATAATAAAGAGGGCGCAAGCAGGACGCAAGGCAGGCGCAGAAAAGCGCGTGTGAACTGACACCTGAAGTAACCGAGGTTGGCGTTTAAGCACTGCTCCCCCCGTGGCAGTCACCCGCTGGATTAAAATGGTAAGGCAAAAGCAAATACGTGATATTTGTATCTACTAAAATATTTTTTAGAAAGCTAATCATGCGGTGGCACCCAGCTGAAGCTGTAAGACCAAACCTAGCCGAATATTGTATGCAATGTTTGGTGGCGGTTGATACATAACCACAGTTTTGTCCGTGCTAATGATCGGTACGAAGTTGGCGCAGT